TTAGTTTAATTTTTATCAAAGAAAGCGTTGAAAACTAGCGTTCTTCAACCGCAGAGCTATGCGGTAATGAAATTATATATATATATATTTTTTATAATATATAATTATTTATTGAATATTTCTTTCGAAACTAACAAAAGGTTTTCAAATCTTACAAACTACCATTAAATTTAAAATTTCTGTGGCAATGCTTAGAAATTTTTGTCTGTGACAGTCTTTGAAGTCTGTTAAAAATGGAATGCACGCTGTGCCCCAAAGCTAGGGCTGCACAAATTTGAATAAAAGTTCAAAGATAACTACAATTTTATGGATTCACTGAGGGAAATAACGCATAGTAAACATGAGTATTTTTATTTGATTATCGTTCTAAAATGTTCGTATTTAAAAACAAAACTTTAATACCACGCACGCGTGGTGTTGATTGAAAGTCAGCATTTGAATGCACATTTACATGTCTGGCTGTAGATGAGTGCGCAAAGATACTTGCCACAATTTGTTAATTTCCAGAGGGTCAGGGTTCAAAACCCATTACCGGCAGCATGGAATTTAAATATATATTTTTTAACTTAATTATGAAAAAGTTTCCGTTTGAATTTAATATTTCTAGACTGAATAATAAAATGTGTATACTTAAATGTATAGCCGATACAGATGTTGGCAGAGTAAGACGTGTTTTAGTGGTGCTCTTAAGTATTTGTGTTTTCCCGCGTAAATAATTTAAAAATTTCTTCAAACTATTGATCTGCCGGTGTACCTGTGCGCTGTAAGTTTTTCGTGAGACTGCGAACACCTTTACTCACCTTATTTGGTATATTCCTGCTTAATTAAGTAAACAAACGAACAAGAAGCCAACAAGCATGTCAATAACACGCAAATACTCAGCGAGAAAACCGGCAAACCCACCTAAAACTCCTCTCACACCAGCATCAGCTGCATTTGAGCGGATGGTGATGAAACTGGAGGTGCAGAGGGACGCAATTTTCGAGCAGTTGACAGCGGTTATGATGAGATCAGAAGAGAGAGTAATGGAGAAGATCAGTGAGCTGGCCGCCGATACGGCAAATTTAAAGCTATCCATTGCAGCTATTGACAAACGTGTGGCTGCAGTTGAGAGCACATGCACTGAAGTTCTCAATCTTCGCAATGAACTGGCTGCTGCTCAGACTCAGCTCAGCGCTCCGAAAGCAGCGCAGTTTCCACTTACTTATTAGTCAACGGGATTCCTTAAGCAGCCGGTGAGTGTTTGCCTGAACTTTTTGCTAAGATTTACTGTGCAACTCAGCATAAACCCCCGCCTGTGCGAGATGCTTTTCGACTAAAAAGCGTAAAAAGTTATGGGCAAAAAAGCAGTGGAAACTGTCCCATTGTTGTAAAGTTGTTCTCTTCGCAATCGAAATCAGCTCATGAAATCTATTGCGGTCTTCTGCAGATCCAAAAAGAGATCGCTTGCACTCTCTGAAGTGGAGTTGGCGGGCTATGGGTCAATATTTGTATATGAGAGTTTGCCGAAAAAATTGCGAGATGTGATGTCGTATGCTTCAGAGCTCAGGCGGAAGAAACAACTGGCGTCAGTGTTCTCTATACGAGGGAAAATTTTTGTGCGACAAAAACCAAATGAAGAGCCCATACTGGTGAGCAGCAGAGCCGAAATTAACGCTCCTTTCAACAGTACGCGGAAGTAAAAATGTATGTGTATCGAATGTTCAC